CCCAATACCAACCATTTCATGGAGGCAGCTACATGCCGCTGCCCAAAAAGCTACAAAACAAAAAAGCAATCATCACTGTCCAAAAACAGAGACAACGAGTGCTTGAGATGGGCTCTACATACAGCATTATTTCCACCAACAGATGGGAAAAAGGTGACAAGAACGTCAAGCTACCCCACAGAAGATGGGCTAAATTTTACAGGAATAGACTTTCCAATGCCCATATCACAGATTAATAAGCTAGAAAAGCAAAACCCTAACCTAGCGATAAATGTGTTTGGCTGGGAAAAAGACTGTGTGATTGTGCATAGGCTCAGCAAAAGAGAGGGAAGCCTCCCGAGAATCAACTTGATGTTAATACAGAAAAACGAAAAATCTCACTACACACATGTGAGAAGGCTGAGTGCGGCCAAAGCAAGCACGTTGGTGTAAAACATTTTTGTGAAAGAAGTCTGCACAGTTACATGACGGCAGAGCTGCTCGAAAGACACAAACCCGAATGCATGGGGCAGCTGAAAAGGCCCACAAGGACCGAGCTGCCCAAAGAGGGCGAAAACAAGGTGAAGTTCAAGAACCACCAAAAGCAGATGAAAGCGCCGTTTGTGGTATATGCTGACTTTGAGTCTTTGATAAGGAAGATACGTGGCTGCGCGAAAAAAGGCCAGGCAACAATCAAAACAGAGGTCCACAAGCCCTGCGGTTTTTCTTACCTGATCGTGAGGAGCAACAGCTTATTTTGAGTTGAGCCCCGAGGCAAGACTCAAAATAAGCCCGAACTGGCCCAGCCCCAGAACTATCACTATACACATGTGTTGATCACTTATCTGCTAGAATAGCTGATCCACTTACCAACCTACATTATTTGGTGAAAATCAAGAGCAACACTCAAACATACAATCAAACCAGTCAGTCCATCCACACTTTGAACTGTGATTGGCTAAGTTACCATAACAAAATCAAGCATAGTAAGCTTAACAAACTACATCCACATGCCCAGGAACAAACAATGAAGCTCCAAGATGGTGCCATTGTTCACAATATTATGAAAACAGAAAAGAGTGTGAAAATTACAAACTCTTCCTTGTGTAGTCTCTCATTGCTTACACAACTGTCTTCTCCAACGGAATAAAATGACACCAAACTGTAATGTCTCTTATAGTTTCACCCTTTGGAGACAACATTCTTTCAGATCTTTCATACGATAGCCGGATTCGGATATGGTCTGATGCACTGCAGCCAAAAATGATCAGTCGACAAAGTGGACAAAAATAACATTGACGCTTATACTCCTTGTGCAAAGTTTAACTTTTTTTAATTCACTTATTCCTATTGTGCCACAAGTTTTTGGGTCTATAGTACCATGAAAATCCATGAAGATCAAAGACCTCAGAGGTCAAGAAAATGACAAAAAAGACCAGAAAATGGTGTTACCTCTGCCATGATGTAAAATAAGAAAAATTTTAAAAAGACTATTATTTACTTTGAATGAATGGTATCCTTCTAGTTCAAAGAACGTTCACCTATCATAGAAATCTAATTGGTAAAACACACATCATGTGCTTATAAAATTAAAGCAAATCACGCATCACGTTATGATGTCCTGTTCCGCGTCATGTGGCTAATTTAGTTTGAATCATGCATCATGCAGCTAATTTTGGGGCGATCACCCATCACGCAAAAACCCTTTGTCACCCTCTTACTTTAGTCAGGTAATTTGCTATTCCTTGTTAAATTCTATTTATTAAATATTTGTTGTTGTTTTTTGGATAATTTAGCAGGTCCACATAAGCTTTATAAGCTACCCTAATTAGTTAACCTGCAATATCAATTAAAGTGTGTATGCATGTATGAATGTATGTATATCCCAACCATATAAGAGCTACATGTTGTATTGGCTACTGAAACAAAAAGTGTTTTGTTTCCTGAAATTTGAAGAATTAACAATTTGAAGAACTAAATCAGCATAAACAAAATTTAATATCTTCCCTATTCAACATTCCTAAAAACTGATTATCAAATATTATAATATACATAGGACCCTGCGTGTGCTCTGAAGGTCAAAAACCCATGTTTTATTTAAGAAATAGAAAACATGTACCATGTTTCTATCGAATTAAGGAAACACAAGTGGAAGTTTGGAAGAACGAGAAATGCTATGGGAACCCGAGCCGTAGGTGAGTGTTTCCACAGCTTTTTCGAGTTCTCCCAAACTTTTGCGAGTGTTTCTATAACTCGATAGAAACACGGAGAACATGTTTTCTATTTCCTTTAGAAAACACCACAATGGAAAAAAATAGAAACATGATTTTTAACCAATCAGCGTGCATATTTTCTTAGGGCTGTTTTCTAACAGAATATAAAACATAGAAAAATCATGTTTTACTGTTTTTCGCCACATAACCTCTATATCATAAAACAAATGAAGAAGCCTATGCCATGTATTACACTGTGATGAAACACTCCGGACATTCGAGAACACTTCAGAAATGTAGAAAACACGAGCCACAGATGAGTGTAGAAATGTAGAAAACACTCATCTGTGGCTCATGTTTTCTACATTTCCCTTGTGTTCTCAAATGCTGTCCTGTTTTATCACAGTGTAATACACGGCTTAGGCTTCTTTATTTGTTAAATAAATTTAATGTTAGCTCTTTTGGTGTTACCCTATTTAATTATTATTAGTAGTAGTAGACCTATTATTACTCAATTATTACACAATTAAATAAGCTCAGTTATTATTAACATACCTGTACAGAAGTGCACAAAAGCAAAGGTTGAATTCATGTAATGTTATCTTGTTTTAATCTGGCGAGGTTTGCATCTTCTCTGCCTTCCGTCTCAAGTTAATTCTGCACTTAGCTTAACGCATTTATTCTCCCGCTCTGTTTAGATTACTCTTTTTCATCCCGGGAGTTTTATCTGCTTGTCTTTTCACTGTAAAACTGCACCCTTTAAGAGTTCGGCTATTTCTTGACGATTAAGTTAACTTTCTTTCATGTAATGGCCCCAGGCAAAGGCCCTATTACTGGTTCACGATACCAAAAGTTTGTTTGCCTCTGACCATCAACATGTGTACAGTTTTGCGCCATCTTTGTTTCTCTCTTGACCCCAACCTCACTCGGTCACAATGTTCCCGGACAAATGCGCGTGATCCCGCGTGTAGTCCCTCGAACTCGTCACTCGCACTATGAAATATATACTATATTTGATCTGCAATTGAATTCTACACATTGAGCGGTTTCTGTAGATTGTCTGTCAGGTAAATTGCAATTCTTGTCTTAATCCTAAGATCGCAATTCTTTCTCTTAATTAAACGAGGATGTTAATTACTTTACTATAAAGCTTTTCCTCAGCTGATTCTTAAAATGTCTTCTAACTCTGTAAAGCATTATAAGTTTTTCTATGCTCATAATTTGTATTAAATGCAAATATGAAACATTAGGCAGTAATTTCATTCATTTGTTTTCTTAATATATTGCTTCTCTCGGTTTTCTCTGCAATAACTCAACTCCTTGCCTGTTATATGGGATGAACTGTAAAGAAGATGTGAACAACCATAGCAGTTTCAAAGCGTTGCTCAATTTAATGTTGAAAGTAGTAAGGCAGTTACTTTGGTTTTGGTTTTGGTTTTACTGCAATTTGAGATTGATTGAGTAGTCTAATTGGCAAGTATTTGGTTTGGTTATAGTTTTACGACACTCAATTGAAAACCACATTAGCAGCAGTTTTATAATTTAATGGCTAATACAATGGAAAGAAAAATTAAAGATAATAACAAAGAAGTAAATTTTGTATTTTTATTTCAGATTTTTTAGGTCATATACATCAGTGAAAACGAGTTTGTTCCCAT